GGTGATAGAGTAAGACTCCATTTCAATAAAAAAAGAAGGAGTAACACAATTTTTATATTAATTTTCTAAATCTTTTTCATTCATTCGTTTAGGAAACATTCCTTGAACACCTGCTGTACTAGGCAAAGTGGACATAACAAACAACCCAAAACTTCAGTGCCTTAAAATAATATACATGTGTTTTTTGCTTATGTTGCAGTATAATGCCAGTCATGAGGAACACACTTCTCCTTGCAGAATTTAGAAACCAAGATTCCTTTAACCTTGTGGTTTGCCCTTTTTGAGTCCTTGATTGAACCAGTAGATGGTGAAAGAAAGTGAGGATTACATGAGGGGTTTTTTTTAATAGGCCAGCTGTGGAAACATTATACACATCACTTAGGCTTACATTCCATTAGCCCGAACTCAGGTAAACAGCTACACTTAAGTGCCAGGGAGACTAGAAGATGTAGTCTGGCTAAAGATTCATGAAGTAAACACTGACAATTTCTGTCACAACTACTATGTGCCCAGCTCTCAAAGAGACAAGTATATGTTCTTCAGTGAAGAGAATAAAGTGCAATACATCCCATAAAGAAGGTATTAAAGTACCTATGGAAAAAAGAAGCAACAGTTATATCCACTTGGGGACAAAGGGTGTTGACTGGGGAAGTTTTCACAGAAGAGAGTGATATTTGAAGTAAAACTTTCTGGTATGATTTTTTCAGCAAGAAATTGAGAATGGGCGCCCCAGCAGTAACAAAGGTATAGCAATTCAAACAAAAGGCAACATGGCCCAGCAAGACTAGATTATATAGATCCTCTAAGTGAGAAAGGAGAAGTAGTAGATGATGATATTGAAAGGTTACATTGAGATTAGGCTATGAGGGGCTTTTAAAAAAATTTTTTAAATTGATGCATAATAGTTGTATGAAGGGTTTTAAATGGTATGTGAAGGTATTTTAGGGGTGTGTGTGTGTAGATGTATGTATGCAGCAAGGCACCCTCGAGTGTTTTTAGCAGACAGTGACATCATATTTGGATTTTAGAAAGGTACATTTATTTATTTAATAATTATTGAACATCTCTGTGTCCTAAATACTGTGCTTACTGCTAAGGATATGAAACAATGAACATGTTCCTTGTTCTGGTGGTAATATGGAGAGTTCATTGGAAGTACTAGTATTAGAAGTACAGAGATCAAATAGTAGCTCCTTTCTTGTTCAAAATAAAAAGAAATGAGGTCCCGAATGTGAGTATTGTCAGTGAAATGGAAAGGAATGAATGGACTCTAGATGTAATTTGTGGAGTTGGATCCAATAGAACTGCTGGTTCTGGTACAATCAGCTGGTACTCCATAAGGATAAGAGTTGAAGGAAAGTGTCACAGAGGTTTTCAATCTGAGAGATTAGTTGGCTGGTGAAAAAAGCACATACTATGGGAAGAGCATCAGGTTTGAGAGAAAGATTGTGTGTTCAACTGTGGATGTGATTTTGAAATATCTATTTGGCAGTGTCCAGGAAGTAATTGGAAAAAAACAATTCTAGTGATCAGGAAAGGGACCATAGATAGGTATGGCTATGATAGACATATGTGTTACAGTTTAGACCTTCTATATACAGCCCAAGAATAGAATGCCAAGAAGGCAAAGGTGAGCAAAAGAAACAGCAGCCCAAAAAGGCTGACAGATAATTCTCAGAATTAGGAGACCATTTCCAGAAAGATGTGGTTGGTTCACTGTTTCTGTGTTTTTTGTTTTTTGTGTTTTGTGTATGTTTGTGTATGTTTTGTTTTTTTGTTTGTTTTTGTTTTGTTTTGTTTTTAATAGGATAAAACTGAGTTAACCTAGATTTGGCTCTTACAGACTTTGGGGGGACCATTGCAAATGCTGTGGGGGCAAAAGCTGGTGGGAACAAGAAAAGGCAGTAGCTTGGTTAAAGGAAGAGTAAATGTTTTACAGGATTTGTGAGACTTGAATATATTTATAGTCTGAGGGTAGGGAAGAGAGAGTTTGAACTTTAAGAAGCAAACAGAATCCTGAAGGGTATGAAAAAGGATATGTTCTAAAGTGCGAATGGATGGGTTTGCTTTCTGAAACAAGCCAAAGAAGTAAGGATTGATGAACATAAAAGTTTGGAGTCACATGGAAGTGAGTCTGAGAATATAGAAGGGAGTGTGGGGAGTTGGTATGGGGTTATTGCCATTTATAGTAAAGACAGCACAGTAAGTTGTAGGAAATGAGAATGGACACTAACTATGGATGCTAAGGAGAAGCAATATGGAAACATCCATGTTAACTTCTAAAATATTGGTTTTTGGTAGAGTCAATAAATAACATTTATACACTGTTTCGTAGGGAGCCTCTGCAGCAAAAACAGAAAAAAACAATGGTCAAATGTGTTATAGGTTGGTACAAAATTAATTGCAGTTTTTGCTATTTTAATGGCAAAAACCATTTTATTGGTTTTATTTTAATGGTTTTTGCCATTAAAATAGCAAAAACTGCAATTACTAAAAATGG